AGGGCCGGCCTGTGGCTTGGAGCAGGAAGCTGCCTTCTGAAGGGCTGGCGCCAGCCTTCACTGAGCTGAGCATTTCTCCTTGCCAGGAGTTCCGTGTCCTTAGGTGCTCCCTGGTTTCCTCTTGCTTCCTAACTCGAGCGTCTCCCTGCCCTCTGAGCCTCCTGTGTCTGGGCTGCGCTGGTGGTAGTGGCGGGGATTTTGGCAAAATCTTGGCATCTGCTACTCACAGTCACCACTTGTCTCTAGAGTGTGCCGGTCCTGGGCGATGCCCCGTCACACGGTGTGCCCTTTGCTACTGGCTGAAACCACTCTAGGGTTTTCCTGACCACTTTCCTGGGGAGGAGACTGAGCCTGGAGAAGGAAAGTGACCCGCACAGGTTCACCTGAGGTCAGGGCCCAATTTCAGTCTGCGTCCGCTTGACCAGGACGTCCGAGGTCCTAGCCCGGCTCTACCTGGATGGACTATTTTGTTTTTTTAGATTTTATTTAATTATTTGGTAGAAAGAGAGAGCAAGCAGGAGTGGGGAGGGGGTAGGAGCAGAGGGAGAAGCAAACTCCCCGCTGAGCAGGGAACCTGATGTGGGGCTCGATCCCAGGACCCCAGGATTGTGACCTGAGCTGAAGGCAGATGCCTAATGACTGACCCACTCAGGTGCCCTGGATTGTTATTTTTTTTTCAAAGCAAAGTAGGAAATAATGTGTGGGAGGGGAGATGAGGTAAGGGGAGGCATGACCAGAGCCATTTACTCAATAACTTCTGGGTACCTGCCAGATGAGGAGGATAGGTGTCAAGAGTAAAATACACATGGCCCTGGCACTGAGTTCCTTGCATGGTCCTTGTAGGACAGAGGTAGTGGCAAGGAAAAAAAAGCATTGCAAAGACTGGGCGGTCGGCCTGATGATTTGGGGAGTGGGGAGGAAAGCTTCCTAAAGGAGATACCCAAGTTGGGTTTTGAAGGATGTATAGGAGTTTGTTATAGTGGAAAGACACTGTAGGGAGAGCATGTAGCAGGAGGTATCCCAAAGAAGCATTCATTTGACCAGCAGCTAGGGAGTGCCTTGAAAGCAGGAACCACTGCCCTCCCGAATCTCTAGTGCCTTGAGCAATGCCTGACCCATGTGTGGTAAATGCTCCTTTGAGTGAATGCCTGAGTTGGCCCACTGGGGAACAGGGTGGGAGAAGTTGTAGGAGAAACAAACAGGGCTCAGATGTGGAAAACCTCAGGAGACACAGCAAGGATCACCTTTTGAAGGTGATAGGGAACCATCCGAGGTTGTGTTACCCAAAGGAGAGGGGACAATCTGATCTGTCCCATCTCTTAACACAAATACTTAATTAAATCTGTGACTTTTCCTCTGAGCAGGAAAAAATCTTACTGCTTTTAAACACATATGGAAAGCTTTCCCAGTTCTCTCATGATAAAGGGAAAAGGAATTTAAGCTATAGTGAGCTATTTTCCACTACCATGATCAAAAAGCTTGTAAAACATGGTGTTCTGGAAGGAGTCATCCTTGTACCTTGTTTGGTGGAGTATGAACGGATAACCTCCGTGGAGGGCAGTGTCGGTCTCAGTTTTAGATGTATGCACCTTTTGTACCAGCTGGTTCACTTCTAGAAGTCATCTTTTAACTATGTTTGCCTGTGTGTGAAATGAGGCATTTCCCGGGTTATTAGTTCATTGCTGCATGGTTCCTCTGTTAGAACAACCCGCTGCCCTTGTCAGCAGGAGGCTGGTCAAATAAAGTCAGGTCCATCATACAGTGAATACCAAGTACCTGAAATAAAGAATGAGGAAACCCTTCCTTTGTGGTGTGGGATGACCTTTAAGACCTGTTATTAAGAGAAAAAAGCTGGGCGCCTGGCTGGCTCAGTCGATAGAGCGAGTGACTCTTGATCTTAGGGTTGTGAGTTCGGGCCCCCCCCCCATTTGGTGTAGAGATTATGTAAATAAATATACGGGAAAAAAAAAAAAACGAGAAAAAGCAAGGTGTAGAACAGTGTGAGGAGTATGCTTCCTTCCATTTGAGAATAGAAAATAGGTATTTTTGTTAAAATATATACACATAAATTATTTTCTAGAAGGATACATGAGAAACCAGTAATGGGTGCTGCTGGAGACAGGGCCCTGGGGGGTTAGGGCCTGGGATGGGAAGATGGCTTGTCCCTTTTATCTTTGTTTGAAAGAAAATACCATGAAGGTCTCAAGAATAAAACAGCTGTTACTGAAAAAATCGGTTTCTAATACTGTGTTTTTTTTTAAAAAAAAAAAGCAAGGTACAGCACAGACTATGTATTATACTTTTTGGGAAAACAAAATTGATACACTTTATCTGGATGATATTTGGAAGAGTGCACAAGATGTTAACAGTAGTTTTGCCTGTGGGGATGGGATGCGGGGCTGAAAATTCAGAGGGAGACTTATTTTTTACCGTATGTATGCCATTTTGTGTAGTTTGAAAAAATTTTAACACATAAAATGTGTGCCCTGTTAAAAGTAAATTAATAGAAACATGGATGTATGAGTGCCTGGGTGGTCGGGTACGTGGGTGGGTAGATGGATGGATTATTTGGTGCATAGGTGGATAGATGGATGGGTGAGTTGGTGCATGGGTAGGTAGATGGATGGGTGAGTTGGTTCATAGATGGGTAGATATTGGGTGGGTAGATGCATGCGTGGGAAGAGCTGGGTGGATAGATAGAAGGGTAGATGGATGGATGAGTTGGTGCGTGGGTCGGTAGACGGATGGGTTGTGCGTGGGTGGGTAGATGGATGGGTTGGTGCGTGGGTGGGCAGGTGGATGGTTGGGTTGGTGCGTGGATGGGTAGGTGGATGGATGGTTTGGTGCGTGGATGGGTAGGTAGATGGATGGGTTGGTGCGTGGATGGGTAGGTAGATGGATGGGTTGGTGTGTGGGTCAGTAGATGGATGGGTTGGTGCATGGGTGGGTAGATGGATGGGTTGGTGTGTGGGTCAGTAGATGGATGGGTTGGTGCATGGGTGGGTAGATGGATGGGTTGGTGCGTGGATGGGTAGATGGGTGGATGAGTTGATGCATGGATGGGTAGATACATGAGTGGTGCATGGGTGGGTAGATACACAGATGCATAGATGCATGGGAAGAGAGTGGGTGGTAGATAGATGTAGGTGGATGGAGGGGTGGGTGGATGGGTGGGTGGGTAGATACATGTCTATGGATGCACGTATGGATGTCCAGATAAGTGAGATAACTTTGGCTGTCGTCGGGGAGGACTGATTGGGGCCAGGAGGTCTGGAAACAGGGAATGGTTAGGAAATCATTGTCATAGTCCAGGCAAGGAATGATTGGGTCAAGCATCAAGTTATAGAAATGTGTCACGCACGAACCAAGCTTCTGGTATACATAACTGCATGTATTAAGGCCCAGCATTGTTTTTACTAGAAGCGCAAATTCCTTTGGAATGAGATTTTTCTGGCAGCTGCTCAGAAACGGTTCTGTATATAATAACCACCAACAGTTTAATCCCCTTTTCCACCATCACCTTAAGAATTAGAAGTGATGCGGAATCAGTTAAAATAATCACTCTTTGATATAAATCACACTTAAACTCTTATTCACAAGACTGTCTTCCAAATGCCCAAATCCACAGAGGCATGACCTTTGTCCCTTTTTAGGGTTTCTTTGTGTCTAGAAGTTTCCCAGCTAATCCCTCTGTGTGCGTTGACCTTTTAAAGTTTATTTTTCAATGATTTCTTGTTCTTGGTTCTGGAGAAATAACTGTTTATATCACAGAATAATTACATCTCTGAAGAACCAGTTTGGGTACCCGGTAAAGACCCACTCACTCACTCACTCTTTTTTTAAAGTCAGATCCTTTTTTGTTTGTTTGTTTTTTGTTTTTAAAGATTTTATTTATTTATTTGACAGATCATAAGTAGGCGGAGAGGCAGGCAAAGAGAGAGGAGGAAGCAGGCTCCCTGCTGAGCAGAGAGCCCAACTCGGGGCTTGATCCCAGGACCCTGGGATCATGACCTGAGCTGAAGGCAGAGGCTTTAACCCACTGAGCCACCCAGGCACCCAAAGTCAGATCCTTTCTTTTCTAACCATCTTAATAGCCATTTTGAAGTGTACCCTCCAAGAGTGTTAAGTATATTCACATGGTTGTGCATAACTAGGTCTCTTTTTTGAGAAGCTCAGAGCTTGTATCTTGATCAGATTATCAGATGTGTTTTTTAAGTGAAATGATCTTTTTGTTCCATTACCTTTTCTTCAATGGTCTTGAATGTACCTTGAACGCTTAATACAAAACCATAAGGTTCCGGGTTCCTTGGAGTTCCTTGGTGGTCTCACTTACTGATCATGAGGAGGCTGCAGGGACCAGACATAGCTGGAGTTTTCTGGAGGGCGCACTGTCCCGTGGTAGAGAGAAAATGCTAGGAGGGAGGTAGGGGGCCTGGGGCCTGAGGCCAGCTGGAGCACACGGGGCCTGTCCTGAGAAGGGCTGTTCCCCAGCTCCTGCTGATGGTTGTGAGGTGGGAACTTGGGCCTGGTGCTGTCAGATTTTTCTAATTTTCTTTTAAAGATTTTATTCATTTATTTGTCAGAGAGAGAGCACAAGCAGGGCAAGGGGCAGGCAGAGGGAGAAGCAGGCTTCCCACTGAGCAGGGAGCCCCATTCGGGGCTCGATCCCAGGATTCTGGGATCGTGACCTGAGCCAAAGGTAGATGCGTAACTGAGCCATGCAGACCCCCAGGCTCCCTCTTTCGTATGACGCTGGAACTTGCCCCAGTTCCCCGGACCTGTGTGTTCTCGGAGACAGTACCTGCCTTCATGCCTTATTTTTGTTTCACAGTCTTTCTGGCTGCTGATCTCTCCAGTTTGCATGTTCTTCCTAAGAGGCCCTTGGGTGTAGGGTCTTGTCTATTTTCTTAAACCCCATCGTATTGTGGTTTTGATGTCCACATGGACGCCTGTCCCTCCTCCGTGCCGCCTGTTGACCCTGAACCTGTTTCTGTCCTCAGGCGTGGGATGTCACGTGGAACACCAGCAACCCCGACTTCACCAAGTGCTTTCAGAACACGTTCCTCGTGTGGGTGCCTTGCTCCTACCTCTGGGTCTGCTTCCCCTTCTACTTCCTCTATCTCTCACGCCATGACCGGGGCTACATTCAGATGACCTATCTCAACAAAACCAAAACTGTAAGTCACTTGGGATTTCATTGTGGTTGGGGAGGTGGGGTGTGCTTGGGTTGGGGACTGGTGGTTGGTGAAGACTGATGTAGTTCTCCTGCTTAACCATGTTCCTTTTTCTAGAAGGCAGACTTTTGACGAGGCTCTCGGTTCAGACGTGGGTGTAGACGCGGGCTCTGCCTCTTGCTAGCTCTATGAGCTTGGGCACGTGTTCTGACTTCCCTGAGCCCCTCCTTCCCCATCATTACAGTGAACATGAGAGGCTCGACCTCGAGATTATCAGGAAATAATTGGGAAGTTTTCCTATCTGAGCTGAGGGTTTCTTTTTTATTTCCAAATAAAAACCCCACAAAAAAACAACAACAAAAAAACGGTTTACCTTGAAACCATTTCAAACTTCTGGAAAGAGGTCAAGGAAGACCCCAGGAACTCCCCCCACCAGCCCTGAATACCCATTATTCACAGTCCACCAAATTCTAACATTTTGCCACACTTTTTTGCGATCGGCTCTTCCTCTCTCCATACACATATATGATTTATTTTTTCTGAATCATTTGAGAACCGGTAGCGTCTGTGCTATCTTTACTCGGTTTTTCCAGCATGTCTTTTCTCAAAACAGGGACATTCTCTTACATCATGACAATACAGTTACTAAATTCAGGCAATTTAACATGGACACAATACTTTAAAAAAAATCTGTCCGTATTCTGCAATTTTGTCCCTTGTTCCAGTCCTGTCCTTTCTTAGTATGGTTCCCCCAAGCCCATTCAAGACCCAGTCTAGATTCATGCAGTGTTTTTATTTGTTTGTTTTTTTTTTAAGATTTTTATTTATTTATTAGAGAGAGAGCAAGAGGGAAAGAGAATCTGAAGCAGACTTCACGCTGAGTGCAGAGCCCAGCGTGGGGCTCGATCTCTCCACCCTGAGATCATGACCTGAGCCGAAACCAAGAGTCAGACGCTTAACAGACAGAGCCACGCAGACGCCCCTCATGTGGCACTTTTAGTCATGGTGTCTCTTGTGTTTTTCTTTAATCTGGAAGAACACCTCACCTTCCTTTGGCACTGACCTATTGAAAGAGCCTGGGCCAGTTCTAGACTGAGTTCCTCAGCTCGAGTGCGTGATGTGTCCTCAGGACGTGGGTCATGCCATGTCCAGCTGGAAAACCATGGAAGCGGGGTTGTGTCCCTTGGGGGTGTTACAGCTGGGGGGTGTGGTGTTCACTCCAGATTGAGGGGGTTCATTTTGAGTGTTGCCTGGTTTCTCCAGTTGTACAGGGACCGTGTCTCCCCTTCGAGAATAAGCATTCTCCGGGAAGACATGTGGAGAGCAGTCCCATGTCATGTTCCTCATTCCACTTTCTCTTCTCCACTTAGCATGTATCTCACTTCATTTGTACAGCCACGTTTCCCAAGACTTAGTTCCCCCAAAACAGGAAAACTGGAATGTGTTTTTACTGAAACTGCCCCTTTGCCTACAGTACCCCCATCCAAATGTGTCTCCTTCATACCACACAAAATGCTAATGATTTCTCTATGGTGTCTAGATCTAATGTCTTCCTCTCAGACCTTTGAGAGCACTTTGTACTTTTTTGGCAGAGCAACATCTCCCTTTAAAATGTAGAACAGATTTTGCAAAGAAACCAACAAAAAGCTTTGCTCAAAAAGCCTCCAGTAGCGTCTCATCATGGGGAATAGAATCCTTACCATGGCCCAGGCTGATCTGGCCCCAGGCTCCTCCCCAGCCATCTCCCACACTCAGCACTCATTCCACAGCAGCCATAAACCTGTCACACATGTTCTCTACCTCAGGGCCTTTGCACTTGTTGATCCTCAGAACTGATTTGTTCTTTCCCTCAAATATCCACATTTGGCTCCTTAGCTGTATGTCACCTGATTGCATAGGGCCCTCCCTGACCACCCCGTGTTACCTGTTGTCTTTTTTCTCCTGTTACTTATCACCCTCTGGTATCATATTATATATTTTTCAGTTTGTTTCTTGCCCATTTTTTCCCCATTAGAATTTCCGCTCCATGAAGGCAGGGACCTTTGTCAGTTTTGTTCATTGTTGTATCCTTCGCACTTTGGAAACAAGGTGGCCCACAGTGGGTCCCCAGTGACTGTTGTGGAATGAGTGCTTGTAGTGTGAGGTGCCTTAGGCAGGTGTGCGGGGTGGCCGATGGAGGTAAGCTGTAGACTGGGCTCTTGAATTTTCCGGGGATGGGAAGAACAGCGACCAAATAGTCACACCCTGGGTGTGAGAGGGCATCATACACTGGTTATAGACTTGCATGTGATGACCCAGAGGGTGGCTCCCCCTGCCTAGGACTTGTCCATGCTCCAGAGGCCGTGTGCTGTATCTAAGGACCGCAGCTGATAGTTTAGAGGTTGGCTCAAGGCTGAGCTTTTTGCAGGGGGGCTGGGGAAAGTTCCAGTGTCTTCTGTTGTAAGACATATGTATCCTTCTCTTCCAGGCCTTGGGATTTTTGCTGTGGATTGTCTGCTGGGCAGACCTCTTCTACTCTTTCTGGGAAAGAAGTTGGGGCAAATTCCTGGCCCCAGTGTTTCTGGTCAGCCCAACCCTCTTGGGCATCACTATGGTAAGTCGGAGCTAGCTATCTGCCAGGCACTGTGGAGGCCAAAACTAGCAGCCAGAGTGTAGAAATTAGAAGATCTCACAATAAAAATCCAAAAATTTGATTTCTCTTGAAAAAGCCAAAGGTGGCAACACCAGCCCCATAGTTTTCTGGGGCAACAATCAGCCGGAGCTGAGAGACGAGTATAGCCTTGAAGGGGGCCATGTGCTGTGCACTTGGCCCCAGTCCTCACCGTGCTCTGTTGCCTTCCTTGCCCCTGGGGCTGAAAGGTGGCTACCATCTTTGGTTGTGCCTGCTGTGTTCTGTTGTTATACTGGCTAGCTTGGCTGTTTATGTTAATTGTCTGGGACCTAATGGCCCCTTGAATTTTCAGCTTCTGGCTTATGGGGTGGGATGCCAAGCCGAATAGGAAAGTACCCTGCCCCACGGGGGTCCATTATTTCGTGGGAAACAAAGCCAGAGTAACTGCTTTCTTATAAGCTGACACATTTTAAGTCCTTAATATGTGCCTGGCACCATTTTTGGTGGTTTACATTTCCTGAAATTAGAAATTAGAATTCATCTGTTCTTAGAATAATCTTGTCCCCCTTTGGCAGGGGAGAAGACGAAGGCACAGAGACATTAAATGTCCGCAGGGTCACACAGCTGAGCCAGGGGCGGTCCCTGTAGAGGCCCTTGTGCCACAGTGATGTGCTCTGAATTCACGGCCCTTCCTGCTTATGGACCCCATACCTGGGTCCTCGGAGGCGCCTGGAAGGTTCTTGGTGAGCCCAGGCCTTGTGTGTTTGAGAATGAGGAGGGAAGCAGGTTCGGGGCAGGATGTTTTGAGCTGGGAGAGCAGTGCGTCCAAGGAAGGGCTAGAGGCTGGGGTTGAAGGAGTGGCCATCTGTGAAGCAGGAATGTGGACTGGGGCTTCAGGGTGTGGACAGCAGAGCTGACGGAGATGGGAAGGGGGAGGCGAGCTGGAGCCAGATTGTGCAGGGCTGTGCATCTTTTCATTTTTATTTATTTTGAAGACTTTTTTTTTAAAGATTTTATTTATTTATTTGACACAGACAAAGATCACAAGTAGGGAGAGAGGCAGGCAGAGAGAGAGAGAGGGAAGTAGGCTCCCTGCTGAGCAGAGAACCGGATGCGGGGCTCGAACCCAGGACCCTGGGATCATGACCTGAGCCGAAGACAGAGGCTTTAACCCACTGAGCCACCCAGGCGCCCCAAAGATTTTTTTTTTTTTTTAAAGATTTTATTTATTTGTCAGAAAGAGAGAGAGAAAGCACACAGGCAGGCAGAGAGGCAGGCAGAGGCGGAGCGAGAGGCAGGCTCCCTGCTGAGCAAGGAGACCGATGTGGGACTCGATCAGAGGACCTCAGGATCATGACCTGAGCCGAAGGCAGCGGCTTAACCCACTGAGCCACCCAGGCATCCCCCAAAGATTTTTTTTCTTAAAGATTTTATTTATTTATTTGACAGAGAGAAAACACAAGCAGGCAGAGAGGCAAGCAGAAAGAGGAAGCAGGCTCCCTGCTGAGAGTCCGATGTGGGGCTTGATCCCAGGACCCTGAGATCCTGACCTGAGCTGAAGGCAGAGGCTTAACCCACTGAGCCACCCAGGTGCCCCTATTTTGAAGATTTTTTTTGAGAGAGAGAGAACATAAGCAGGGGGAGTGGCAGGCAGGGGGAGAAGCAGGCTCTCCGCTGAGCAGGGAGCCCAATCCAGGGGACTCGATCCTAGGACCCTGGGATCATGACCTGAGCTGAAGGCAGATGCTTAACCGACTGAGTCCCCCCCAGGCACCCTGTGGATGGTGAATCTTTATTGCACTCGTTAAGAGTCCTGATCCCTTTACATATTAACTCACTTAGGGATTTTTGCTCATTATTCCTACGTTCATAGATAAGCACGTTGAAGCACAGAGAAGTGGAGGAACTGACCCAAGGTCACACAGCCAGTTTGTGGTAGAACCGGGTTCACACCCCAGTGCCTACTCCACGTTGGTGGGGTTCTTTGCCAATACCTGGCTCTCCCCGTGGGCTTTATTCACCTCTGTGTCCCCATAGCTGGGCACCATGCCTAGCGTGCCATAAGCACTCCATAAATATGTCAAGGGTGTTAGGAAATGGAGAGCTTGACTTTCCTGGCCTGAACGTTTGGGCAAGAAGGTGTAAAGGTAAGTTTGGAGTGGTTCATACTCCCCAATTTTTCCTGTTCCTGGTCTTCTGATTCTTTGTTGACAAATATGTCTGTGATGCTGGGTTCACAGGTGTGATGGGCTGAGGGTCACTGGGCTTTATGCTGTTTGAGGCTCTGAGCTGGCTAAGAGGTGACCTGGTCTGTGAGATCCTCAGAGTCTCTCTTCCCCTGTGGGCTCCATGACAGAGTAAAGGAACAGCCCTTCTGTTCATGCTACAGTGAGAGTCTGTCTACATCCCTGGGGGCAGGAGTATGGGATGAGAACAGTCCACAGATATATTTGTATTTTTACTGTATGCCAGGAATTGGAGATATGACAGACACAGTCCCTGTCCTCGTGGCTCCTATGCCTGGTTGTGCAAACAGATACTCAACGAATGATTCCCCCAAAAGGCACAAAGTGTTTGCTCTTGTGCAAAGTGTCATAGGGGTGAAGTTTGGCGAATATGTTTGGTCTGGGGGCTAGGGAAGAAGGGGTGATGGAGCTGAGGCTGAGCGGTGAGCAAGATGTTAAAAAGTTGAAGAGGCTGGGGGCAGAGGACTGTCCAGTTGGCGAGAAAAGCATGTGCAGAAGTCCTGGGGTCAGAGAAATGAAGGGGTTGGTCTGTGTGGCTGAGGGAGAGGGATTAAGAAGCGGGGAGTGGGGATGGCAAGAAGGGCAGAGGGCTGACCCCACAGGATCTGGAGCTTTAGGGTGAGTGGGTTTTGTTTTGTTTTGCATTCCCATACTTGGGTTCTAAAGCTTTTTTTGTGCCATGGGCCCTTTTCTCCTTTGCCAGTCAGGTCTGAGGATTATGTTCCTCACATAAATACAAAGGCTCACAAGAAGACAAATCACACACACACATCATATGTGAAGATTTTGTGATTACGTCTGTGTTTTTACTTGAGGCATAATTTAAATATAGTAAAATTCACTTTTCTAACAAAATGAAAGTTCATGAGTTGTGATAAACCCACATTGTCCTGTAACTACCAGCTCCTCGGTTGGTTGAGATCTAGGACTGCCCCATCGCCCTAAAAAAGTTCCCTCTGGCTTGCCCCTGCTTTGTGGTCAGCCCCTCCCTCCACACCCCCGTGCCCTGGCAACCGTGGGTGTGTTCTCTGCCCCTATCACTTTGCCTTTTCCAGAATGTCACGTGAACGCACCGTGCTGGCTGGGGCTGTGTGCAGCTGACTTCTCAGACCGGCAGTTCAGCTGCCTTGCGAGTGTCCAAGTTTTCAAGTTGCTCCTTCTGTTTGATGGTGTGGTTTTGCCCCACGTCATTTTTCCATCGTCCAGTTGCAGGGCCCTGGGTTTGGGAAACGAACTGTACTTAAACACAGTTAGCAAAAGATTAAAAAAACAAAGTAAAAATATACATACATTTCGTATGAGGACCTGCGAGCGGGTAGGCTGCCCCTGTAATTTCCAAGTCGTGATGATCACATGCGATCGTGGGAAAGAGCTTCAGCCACGTGCTTGCAGGCACGATTTCTAGTGACAGAGCCCCAGGTCCTGCTCATGCCGTGCGGTGTATTGCCTCCACTCAGTGACCGGCCGCGCTGATTTGCGGGAACGTGAAGATGTTGATTGTTTTTCCGTCCAAGTTCGTGGACCTCTGGGTTCTAGCTGCAGCCTGTCCTTGACCCCAGGTTAAAACCCCGAATCCTAAAAGGGAGAAGTTTGGAGCAAGGGTGTGGCATGCCTGGCTCTGTGCATTGAAAAGCCGAGTGTGGCCTCTGAGTGGAGAGTGGATTGGATTGTTGGGGCTGTGGGGTGCCCATAGGGTCACCCAGTATGAGGGGAGGGGGCTGGGGCCAGGGGAAGCAGTGGGTGAACTGAGGACCAGCCCTGGTGGCAGAGCCAGTGTGAGTTGCTGATGGATTAAATGTGGCGAGGGAGGGAGATGGGGGGCCCCCCAAGGAGGATGAATGAGGACAGACAGATGTGCTTCTGGGGAGTAAAGGCAGGTGTCATGGGTGACCTTTAGCTCCTCAGAAGCCTGGCTCACGACTGGCTTGGGGGATGGGCCTCGGGAGGCCAGCTCTGCTTCTCGGAGGAAGGACTGTGGCCTTTCTCCTTCTTTTGAGAAAAAGCGGTCTTACCGCTTATTTTCTCTCCCTGATCGTTAAGTCATCTGCGACATGGAGTAATAGCGTCAGGTATCAGGAATAAAATAAAACCCCAGCCTCCCCTGCCCGCCGTCATTCTAACAAAGTTCCCTGCAGATGAGATGTATAGATGGAGGCAGATGACGAAACCTTCATCCCCTTAGGAAGGAGCGCAGTCCTCACTGTTCCCCAAGGGAGGAAAATTAGTCTGTCAGGACTGGGACTTCAACATAGGGCTGTCCACCTGTAAAGGAAGGGTCGGCCCACTGCCTGTTTTTTAAATAAAGTTTTATGGGCACTCAGCAGTGCCCATTCATTCTGGAAAAAGTGTACCTCTCTCTTGTAAACTGAGCTTTTCCCCGACTTCGTCATCCTATCCCGGATCTACACACGGTGTCCCGAGATTCCTGCTGCTGTCACATGAGGTGCTGTGGTCCTCTCTCTCTCACAGGTGAGGCAGCAGAGGCTCTGAGGACATCAGTGGCTTTTCCAGGGTCCCCAGCAAGGCGAGAGCAAGCCTGGTACTGGAGCCGGGTCCTTGCCGGCCTGTTTTTGGCACCACTAAGCTGAGGGCAGCCGTACTCCAGGACTGCCGTGTGCCGGGACAGTGGGGTCCTGAGCCCTGGTCTTCTGACAACTCCCTTGTATGCTTCTCTCTTGCAGCTGCTTGCTACCTTTTTAATTCAACTCGAGAGAAGAAAAGGAGTCCAGTCCTCGGGGATCATGCTCACTTTCTGGGTTGTAGCCCTACTGTGTGCCCTTGCCATCTTCAGATCCAAAATCATGGCTGCCTTAAAAGAGGTAAGTGGTTGGGGCGCCTGGGTGGCTCAGTGGGTTAAAGCCTCTGCCTTCGGCTCAGGGTCCTGGGATCGAGCCCCACTTCAGGCTCTCTGCTCAGTGGGGAGCCTGCTTCCTGCTTCCCTTCCTCTCTCTCTGCCTGCCTCTCTGCCTACTGGTGATCTCTCTCTGTCAAATAAATAAATAAAATCTTTAAAAAAAAAAAAGAGGTAAGTGGTGGCCTTATTCCACATCTTCCTGCAGCGGCCCCTTGGAAGAGATATTTGCTCCTTCCAGCTTCGGTGGAAATCACATGTTGCCATGGGAACCAGAGGATGGGTGCTACCTGGGCCCAGCTTCTTTACCAGGGATTTCCCCAGTTCATACTGCCTTTGTTCTAGAACTTTCTTTCCTTAGGGCCCTACTTATCTGTGTAGCTTCAGGGGCCCATGTGGGTTCTCCAGGGGTGGGAGCCACAGACAAATGCACACCACCCTCTGAACCTCTGTCCTCAGTAAACCACAAGGCAGGTTGCCTCTAGATGCCGTCAGTCTGGAACAGAGCTCAGTGCAGAGTGGTATTTGCAGAGCAGCTGCCCCCCTGCCCCCCCCCCCATGGGGCCCAGTACCTGTCCCCGCATTACCTCGGTGCCATCAGCTAACACTGGCTAAGAGGTGGTTCTAGTTGCTGCCATATGCTGCTCCTGGGAAGCCAGAAGGGCGTGCTTTATCAGCTGCTACGCTGCTGTCCTCCGCCACCTTCGAGCTCCTCAGGTCACTGAACGTTGATGAAGTACCTGCAGTGTTTGGGACAGACCATCGTTAGCACTGAGAGCAGCTGACATTTCTTGAGGTCATGTTTCCGAGGCGCCAGGCAGGGACTAAGTTTTGTTTTGTTTTGTTTTGTTTTGTTTTGTTTTGTTTTTCATGAGTAATCCTATTAACTGCTCAGAATTACTCTATGGCGTTTCTGAGCCTCAGCACTAATTGACATTTTGGGCTGGAGACGTCTTTGTTGTGAGGGACTCTCCTGACCTTCATAGGCTGTTTGGGGTGGGGTGGGGTGGGGTTGCATTCCTGGCCACCACCCACTGGGTGCCAGGAGCAGCGCCCAAGTCAATGGTGAGCAAAAGTGTCCCCGGCAACTACCAGGTATTCCCTGGGAGGTGTCTCCCCGCTCCTCCCCGCCCCTATTGAGAACCGCCCATCTGTTTTTAGAGATCAAAGTGCAGAAAGGTTGAGAGAGTTGGTAGCATCCGGGGGCCAGTACAAGGAGACCCAGGCCCTGACTATGGGCATGCTTCACTCCCACTCTGGAGCCTCCCTTCAGCATGTTGGCTGCCCTCACCGGACATCGGGGACCGCACCGTGGTGTAACCACTTCTCTCCTGCTGGGGGAGGTGGCTCAGGGCACGAGACCTTGTTCCTGGGTCTGCAGCCCGCTGCCCCCGGCCTCTGTAGGCTGCTTCCAGAAAGTGATCTTCTCTTCCTCCTCCCTTGGCTCACGTTTAGGATGCTGAAATCGACGTGTTTCGCGATGTCACTTTCTACATTTACTTTTCCCTCGTGCTGATGCAGCTTGTGCTGTCCTGCTTCTCGGACCAACCACCCCTGTTCTCTGAAACCATCCACGACCCCGTAAGTGTGGTCAGAGACGTGTGCGTGTGTGTGCGCGTGTGAGAAAAATACTGTCCTGCCCCAGCTCATGTGGGTTAGCTCTCTGTTTCGGGCCAGCGTTGTCTGTCTGGGATCTCATTTCATCTTCCCCAAAGGCGCAGAGAGAGGGTGTATCAGCGTCCCACTCTACAGATGGAAAAACAGAGGCCTGGCTGTGGCTAGGGGCACTTAATGATTGATAATTGAATAATTCATAATTGTCGATTTATAATAACAATTCATAATAATTCTATTCATAATAATAATTCATAATCACTTATCTGATTCATAATTGTAAACAGCTGTGTCTTGCAGGCTAGTAGGTTTTCTCATTTGGTTTCCCTAGTGACTTTAGAACATGTGAGCAAACATTTAAAAGCTGGAAAATTTGCCATAAATTCTAACTGTGTGGTTTTTTTAGAAAAATGAGGAGTTCTGGCAGTATTAGGACCACTATCCCCCACAGCAGCAGTTGACCTCAGCTGGGAGACGTGTAGCCCTACCTTACCGCAATCCCCACCACTCCCTTTTGCATTATATAGTCTTGCTTCCTTTTACGATCTGTGCCTGGCCCCTGAGGGGATTTGAGTTGGTCTGTCCTGTCAGTTTGAGGCACAGGGAAATCGTTAGGTACCTGCGGATATGAGCGGGATGATGGCGGTAGGGCCAGTCTTCCTGCTGGTAGAATAAAAGGGAACATAGTCCTTGGCTGCTCCTACCTCTGTTCTTGCTCTGTTTCCCTCTTTTCCTTCCTCTCCACCCAGTGCCCCATGCCAGGTTGGGCCAGGGCTCTGGCAGTGAGTAAAGCAGTTCTTGCCCACCTGAGGCCTGTGTTGTTATGGGGGTGAGTTAGGAGATGGTGGACAAGGAGTAACCCAGGAGCCAAGTATTGTCGGTCAGGTGGCAGTAAATCCTAAGAAGGAGAAGAAAGCATGGACAGGAAATGGATATGTTGTTTGAAGGTCATGGGCAGTTTTGATGTGATAGGAGCTATCAAGGGAGGCCTCCCTCATGAAACCTCTCTGGAGCGAGGGCGTGAGCCGAGCACATACTCAGAGGAAGAGTGGTCCAGGCAGAGGGGTGGCAAGTGCACAGGCCCTGGGGCAGGAGCTGCTGTGAAATGTCAAGGGAGCAGCAGGAGAGGCCAGTGTGGCTGGAGCAGCGAGAGGCCAGACACGGCTAAGACAAGGCATCCCACAGGTGGGGACGGTGGCCTGTAGTCACATGAGCCATTGGATTTTGTTCTGAGTGGGAGGGGAGACTTTGGAGCATTTATTTGATGCTTTGTTCATGTTTAGTCAACTGTTAACTGGGCAAATTGCAGCCAGAGCAGTTTTCAGCTGCTGTGGCTCCTCTGGGCTTGGCCTGCACCTCAGCAAGGGGCTGAGGCTGCCTTCGTGGGTGATGGAGGCACCTGTGGGGAGTCTGCTCAGAGGAGGTTGACCCTTGCCACCGTGTTTGTTAGAAACCCGTGTCCCAGTATGTGTTCCGAGAGGCCCCATTCTTGGACTTCCCTGATCGAAGAGGAACAGTGCTGGAGAAATGTGCAGTGTGTGTGTGTGTGTGTGTGTGTGCATGCATGTTGGTGCGTGTGCATGTGACACATTTGTGTTCATCTGCATGAAAATATGTGGGTGCATGTGTGTGTTCATGTGTTCTTACACGTGTGTGCATGTGTTCTTGTACATCTGTATAAAGTTATTGAGGGCAGCACCCATGCCTGGGACACCCCCTGGATCCCAGCTCACGCCTGGCACGAAGGAGAGGCTCAGAGGGCTATGGCTGTCAGGTCTCCCGGGCCAAGTGTTCGTGTGTGTGGGTGTGGATGTTTGGCCATGGCGTGTCCCCGTCAGGAAACTTTGATTAAATGTCAGGCCGTGCTGTGGAGCTGGTGGGCACACAGAACAAGTCATACCCGCCTGAGTGGCCACAGACTCTGCTTGGAGGGTAAACTGAGCCCGGGACAAGCTGGCAGGGTGACCCGAATCTTACCTGGGCTCCCAGACTCCCTATAACACCTGAGATTCCGCCTTCCGGAAGGGACTGTCTCACATGCCCTGGGCAGGGGGAAGGAGTTTCTGATTTCCAGTTCCCCCTGGGGATTTGGATAAAGCTCCTTTTGCTTCTTTCCTGGGTGCTCGCAGAGCTGGCTTCCTCCTCCTGTTGTACTGTCTGCGTTCCTGGCAGCCAGGGCCGCTCCACCACACTAGGGCAGCTGGAGGCTGGGCTGCAGGGGGCTGGGACACCCCGACTCTTGTCCCCTGCCATTCTTTTTTTTTTTTAATTAGGAACGGAAGCTTAGAGAAGATGATCGGGACTGTTAGACTCTAACTTACACCCTGAGTCTGATGGGGGCAGCGACAGGTGTCACGGAAGAGGAGCCTCCGGTTGGAGTTGGGTAGATCCGGGGCTTCCTCTAGCCCTTCAGCATTCATTAAGCATCTGTCGTACCCTCTCCATGGTTCTGGGGACACAGCAGGATGTGCAGTTGACGTGGTTCGTGCATCACTACGGTTATCCGCTACCCCGTAACAAAGCACCTTGAATTTGGTTCCATAAAACAAAAGGAGTTTATCCTTAGGTTTCCTCATCGTGGGCATTGCCCGGGCTCAACTGGGCAGCAACCCTGTGGGGTCTCCCCAACAATAGCCAACCTCGCTCATGTGGCTGGTGGTTAGCGCTGGCCCCCAGCCTGAGCCTCCGATGGAGTCTGATAGTCCACATCTTCATGGCCTCAGTGACCTCATGGTGTGGCGGCATGCGTCTAAGAACAAGTGTTCCTAGACAGAGAGCTAGGTGGAAGCTGTGTCACCACTTATGACCAAGTCCCAGCACCCCATGGTGTCACTCCTGCCACACTCTCTCAATGGAGGCCATCCCAAAAGTCGGCTTGAGTTTGCGGGGTGGGGACATAACCCACACCTCTAGGTAGGGGCAAGGTCATAAGAAGAGCTTGTGGGATGGCTGATGATGTCTGGCCGTAATTTGGAGCGCAGTTTATGGGGTAACCTCAGGAAGCTTGCGGCCTCACAAGGGACAGTCATCGATGGGGTGAGCAAACAGCTGTGCAACTCCAGTCGTGAAGAAGCCTGGGAAGCCTGAGAATCGGGGTGTAGGACTTAGATTTGTGACCTCGGGCAAGTCCCTCCTCCTTCCATAACCTCAGTGCTGCCTTCTTGAAAATGGGTCAGGGCTCCATGTGGTGCTTGTGCCAGTCCCTTCCCCCAGGGACCTGAGGCCTGTGATGAGGAGAGGAGCACACTGTTAGGTGCTTTCTCTGCCTTTCTCCCCCTTCATCATCAGGGCTTGCATCAGAGATGCAGAGAATCTGGCCCCAGCTGCCCTCCTGAGGTCAGAGCCTCGGTTATAGGTTGCTTATTCTTGGAGGTGGCGGTCAGCTGTGCTCCCGGAGTGGCCTGGGTCAGGCGGGGTCTGTGGGAGGGGGAGCTGACAGCGCTGGGCTTCTCTGGGCTCTCTCCAGCTGAGTCACAAAGCCAGTGTCCGCCCCAGCTGGCCCTCTGCCATTTGCATGACTCAGACATCTGTTCTGGTCTTAGTTTTTTGGTGGGGCTGCTCCCCTCTCTCCTCCAGGCCTGCGGCTGCCTAGAATCTGGGAGCGGCTGACCAAGCCTTACAGGGCTCTCCTGGGGTTCCTGTCTGGCTCCAGCCTGTGATCCTTCGGCTTGCAGGCCTGGAGGCTCCTGCTTAGGGTGGGGTGGGAGGGAGGGAGGAGGTGTTTCCATTTGCGCTTGGAGACGTCAAGGGCAAACATGGTCAGTAGCATAAACCCCCACTTCTCAGAGCGGGATCATTGGACCAGCTGCATCAGCGTTCCCCAGGTGCTGTTAGAAATGCAGTGTCTTGGGGGCACCTGGGTGGCTCAGTGGGTTAAGCCTCTGCCTTCGGCTCAGGTCATGATCTCAGGGTCCTGGGATCAAGCCCCGCATCAGGCTCTCTGCTCTGCGGGGAGCCTGCTTCCCCCTCTCTCTCTGCCTGCCTCTCTGCCTACTTCTGATCTCTGTCGAATAAATAAATAAAATCTTAAAAAAAAAAAAAAAAGAAATGCAGTGTCTTGGGCAGCTGAGCCCTGCTGGGTCAGAGTCTCACTTTAACAAGATCCACGGGTTGAAAAGCATTGGTTTAGCACATTTAGGAAAATCCCTCCGCTCATATGGTGTAAGAGGTATTTTTAGCCCTGTCCGTAAATAAGGAATATAACCCCCCCGCAACCAGTATTTTGCTGTGAATACGTCAAACTTGCAGAAAAGTTGAAAGAATGACGCAGCGAGTACCCATCTACTCACCAGTCTGATTTCACAGTTAACATTTTGGGAACCTTGCTTCATCACGGATCCGGCTGGCCAGCCGACCAGCCAGCCAACTGCCTGATTTTTTTTTTTTTTTGGTAGCTGAAACTTAACTTGGAAATTCTTGGTATCCTTCCCCCAAACACTTGGCCATGCCAAGAGTTCCGTATCTGTTTAACATTTCTGTTTTATTTTCTTAAAGCAGAATTTACATAGTGAAACTGCTGAATCTGACGGGACTGTTTGATGGCTGCTGACTAAAGAGTACCCCAAGTCCCTGTCAGGATCTAGAACATTACCAGGACCCCAGAAAGTTCCCTGCTGCCCCTCCTGGTCTGTCCCTGCCCTGCACACCCCAGAAGCAGCTGCGGAGCTTGGACTGTTTATGAAAGCATTGTAAACCTGGAGTCAAAGGCTTTTCCCCCTTCTGCTGTTGGTCGTTAGTAGTTCCCTGTTGTGTGGGACCCAGGGGTGGGGGGTGGGGGGTGGGGCTTGGTGCTTAGCCAGACTCTGAGAACGGAAATGAACAAACTTGACCATCGAGGAGAGGGCAGTGGGCAGATAAACCAGCAGCTCTGGGCTGGCCAGTGGGCTCTGAGGCTAGGCACATGCTGGGAGGCGCAGGGGCCCGGTGGAGAGGTTCCCATCTCAGCCTGGGCCTCCAAGGCTAGCATC